CACTCTCCTTCGGCGCTAACACCGAATTGGACAGCCAGGCGGGTATAGGATAGGCTCGATGAGGTTTGGTGAAGGATAGGCTCAATGAAGTTTGGTGAAGGATAGGCTCGACGAAGTTTGCCTCGGCTTCTCAATTTCTCGATGTACCACCTTCTTTTGTTGGAGTTAAAATGCCTCGACTTTTGCTTGACGGGCCTAATGGGTTCGTCAAGGTCTAGCCCATATTCGGGCACTTTCCCAGGAATTCCGGGCATATCAACAGGTTGCTAGGTGAAAATATTCGCATTGTCCAAAAAAAGCTTTGAGCCCTTATCTTTTCGCTTTGGAGATGGATGAGGTACTAGGGATATACAAGGAGATATCCCATGGTGTATGCTCTTTGCGAATGATGTGGTGCTAGTTAATGATAGTCAGGCAGAGATTAATAGGAAGTTAGCTATGTTGACAAACCTTGGAATCGAAAGGTTTTAGACTAAGTAGAACTAAAGCTGAGTACATGAGGTGCGGTTTCAGTACTACTAGGCACGAGGTTAGCCTTGATGGGCAGGTGGCACCTTAGAAGGACACCTTTTGATAATTGGGGTCAATGATGCAGAAGGATGGTGATATCGATGAAGATGTGAGCCATCGAGCCAAAGCCGGATGGATGAAGTGGCGCCAAGCTTCTGGCGTTCGCTGTGACAAGGGTGCCACAAAAGCTAAAAGGCAGGTTCTATAGGATGGCAATTCAATCCGCGATGTTGTACGGCGTTTAGTGTTGGCCGACTAAAAGGCGACATGTTCAACGGTTAGGTGTAGTGGAGGTTGCATGTTTAGATGGATGTGTGGCCACACAAGGAAGGATCGGGTCCGGAATGATGATATACGGGATAGAGTTGGGGTAGCACCGATTGAAGAGAAGCCTGTCCAACATCATATGAGATGGTTTGGACATATTCAACGCAAGCCTCCAGAAGCTCCAATGCACAGTGGGCAGCTCAAGCATGTTGAGAATGTCAAGAGAGGTCAGGTAGACCAAACTTGACATGGGAGGAGTCCATAAAGAGAGATGCGAAGGACTGGAATATCACCAAGAACTAGTCATGGACAAGGGTGCGTGGAAGCTAGCTATCCATGTGATAGAACCATGAATTGGTTGCGAGATCTTATGGGTTTCAACTCTATCCTACCCCAACTTGTTTGGGACTAAATGCTTTGTTGTTGTCCAGACAGAAGTTGATGAGCTGGGATCCAATTGTGGCAACCTTCTCAGGGTTGTCAACGCAAGTGCATCTCCTTGACTTCGTCTTGAGGGAGGACCGAGAGTTTAGGCTTGTAGCGGGATGGGGCTAACTCGTCGACTGGGCATGTGTGGTTGTTGATATGCCCAAACTGTCAGGTTTGCACTGTCGATGGTCTCGCTGGATGACCGGGGAACCAACTTCAACCTTTGTCTATCACAATCCACCGCATGCACAAGGAACTATGGACTATGATGATGCCTTTTGGTCGCTAGCTTGGAACGACAAAAACCTAAGCGAGATGTGGCCAGCCTAGGAGGGCATTGTAAGGCATCTTAAAGTCAACAACTTCAAGAGAGCACTACTCCCTATGATAATCGACCCTGTTCCGGTCTATCTGAAATATAAGCTTATAAAGCAATGGTTATGTATCTATTGACACTTTTAAGTGGATTCCTTCACATGTCACCTTATAGCGTCGTAAAGAACTGCACCACTCATCTATGGCTTGTGAGTCGCCCCTGACACAAGTCTGTGGAACTATTCTAGGCCAGTTTGTCACGGATCGTCGGACTATCATCTGCTTGAGGTCCTTTTTTGATCATATCAGCCTTAAGGGAGCTCTCACCACCGATCAAGACGTGATGAATGCTAAGCTGATCATAGGCAATACAACCAAATGGTAGTGTCACAGGTAGGGTTTGATATTAGAATAATTGAACTCGTCGAACAGAATATGCGCTTCGACCAATATGATCTAGGGGTCAAGGACTGAGGGTGAGCAACATGATGTTCCAGGTCACGACCTTAGTGGTTGTTTGGATAGCAAATGCGTTTGGTTATAGAAACGAGTTTTTACTTGATATTTAGCAAAACCAATTTTACTAATTTTTCTGTTAATAATCAATGTATAGAAGACTATATTTGGGTTGGGAAGTGTGTTTGTCATTTAGATAATGATTCATACTATTCTTGTTCTTCCGTGATCTTCTCATTCTCCCGTCAAATTTTGTTGGGGTACAAGTACAAGATAGTTGGTTGATCGTTCTCATCGAACGGTCACATACACGCGCATATAGTCGAGCAAGTTGTTGGATTGATTCGATACGCCATTTACCAAACGCACAAAATGACAGGCGCATACATGTATGCACATGTAGAGCCTAGCTATCGAGGGCAAGCAGTTGGAACAATTCAATCTGTCAGCTACAGAATGCCGCATACATGCACATGTAGAAGCTAGCTATCTAGGGCAACCAACTAGATCGATTTGATCCGCCGACTGTTGAACGCACGTGCGCAAATGCTCAAGGAGCTAACCTTGACGGTGGGAACGACTAGGACGAACAGTGCAAAGGAAGCTTCGGCTAGAGGAGGGCGGCCTCGAGGTGCGGCACACCAGTGGGCCCGTCACGACTTTTGTCGGCCACCGGGACCTGCAGATTCTATTCTTCGGCTGATGAATGTGCCCAACAGGATCGGCGAGAGAGAGATACCATGTTCTTAGAAATTATGGGTTTCAGATAATCCAGTTTTGCATATCTAAGAATTGGTTAGAGTAGCCAAATGTGATTTTAGTTTGTTAAACCGTCATTCCATTTTATAATTGGACTCTCTACATTCTAACCAAACAACCCCTTGGCATCCCTCCCTGTCTCACAACTCTCAACTGGACAAACCACCCCACAAGTGGTTAACATGCGGCAGACAAACCACCCCACAAGTGGTTAACATTTGGCGATCTAGGAGATTCGTCTTTCAATTCTTCAAGCTCTTGCGTGGGAACAATTATCGTGGAGTTTGCATGAATTATCACAAGTTTGTTGCTTCCTTGGGATTCACTTCTGCATAATTTGGATCCGACAATGCAATGTACTCGCGGTCGATGCCAACTGTAGTGTAATTTTGGTCGCTTCATAATGGTAAGGTAGTAGTACATGATTTCTGTAATCATTGGAACATCACCTCATGTCAATAGGGCTGCCAGGACACAATTTAGCCAGGTTCCGTCCCCCTAGTCGGGAGTAATAGCACTACTCCCGCCTTGACTAATATGTGGAGAAGAGTACAAACATGGTTACAAAGTGAATCCAACGAGTTCGTAAGCAACTCAGCGCTATGATCGTCGATCTAGGTGAGATGTGCCAGATCTGCTTGGTCCTTCTTGCGGGGTCTTGGACAACACAATATAGTCGTTAGATGGCGATGAGCTTCTCCTACATGTAGATGTCCTCGTCATATATGGGTAGGAGTCTAGACCGAGTACGAGCGAACTTCTAGCCCCTTTGCCTTGTTCTGTTCTTTTTTTAATTAGAACAAACATAAACTAATTGGGTAGAAAAGGAGCAGAAAAAGATCTGTGGATTAGACTCCCTTTCTTTCCAGGGTTTGTATTAAAAATGCAACACCCTGTTCTGACCATATTGCACTATGTAAAGATTAAGTAAAGGGATTACCTAGCTAGCGCATATCGAAGAGTTGGAGACTTCCTGCCACTATAGAAAAAGCTGGTGATGGATCAATTTCTGTAGGTGGGTCTCAACTCGGATCGAGACATTCGGATTTGCCGATGAAGAGTAAAGTAAGCCCAAAGGCTTCCCCATCCTAAACCTAGAGCATACACCTCCTTGATCGGTGATGCTTCGTTTGGGCCTCCATACTTGCACATGACGCGTGCATACAACAGTATGTCTACCCATTTGTCATCATCCTCCGACTCAACAGCGATTGTACCTTCCCCTCAAGGAAATCAGTATGGGGTTGTACCACACTCTTTCTCATAAGTTGCAGCAAGGAATGAGACCTCGGGTCACAGTAACAAGCAAACACGCCCTCGGGTTGTACCACACTCTTCCTCATAAGTCTCGACAAGGAAATTTTGTGGTGAAGTAAACTAACAAGTAGCGACAATAAGTAGCGATATTGAGGGGAATGCAAACTCAAGTTGTTTCACGAGGGAAGGAGGAGAAGAAAAAATATGGAAGTAACACTATGGGTCGATGCTCTAGCTGGTAGGAACGCTAGAGTGATGACGAGTGGACGAATGTTGCAACACTCATCAAATAGTAGTATGCAGAATGAAAGGACATGACCACACAATACTGGTTGGACAAGTGGAAAACGGAAAGGACCAATTTACGCGAAAGAGTATCTTTCATGATATGGCCATATGGGTAGGAAAGAAGAGATGCAAACCGAAGGAAATGAACCAAAGAGGTGCACGATGGTAGATAGAGAGGAGGACGTTGACTCTTGTCATGGAGTAGCAAATAAATTAGCTCACTTAAGCTCATAAAAAATGCCTCTAAATTGATGTCTCAAGATATATTTAGCTAGTAAGATGATAACAATAGAACATTTTGGGAAGCAAGTAAGAATTAAACCGACCTAATCAGTTGTTTAGTCTCCCTAGTAAGTAAACAGGCTATCACCCCTTGCCACTTCCATTGACCAAACGAGCCATATCATTATGGTACATTATTGTTATTTAAGTATGGCCATAATTACTGCGTCGAACCGTAAATTCATCATAATTTGGGATCACATGGGGCAAATAATAATTCTATTAGAAAAACCAAGGCGGCAATTAATACAACATTTCCATTCTCTATCTTGCATACTAAATCCTCTATCCCAAGCTTTTACGATTTCAAATATATATATTTGTAATAAGCATCAAGAGTTGTATGTAGGTTGAACCTCATTTCTTCTACGCATGTAATAGGATTAAGCTTATAATATAAAATAACAATTATCAATGATTAAAGATTAAAGATAAGTTTAGAATTGTACCTTTTGTGTGATGATGGGATCATCCCTGCTATAATTAAGAACATAGTTACGCATGCCATCCCTATCATCCCGCACAGCTATATACCCATACAATTCTATGGGGTCATGGTTGATGGAACACTCGGCCAACGTCAATGAGAAAAATTGCAACATGTTGCATGGAAAATAAGCTTTTTTGATTGCCTTCGAGAACATCATCGGCTCCAACCGAGCTTCACCAAAGATTACACAACATATAACAATTATTAGTTCATAGACTAGAGAAATTACATACTAAAAAAAGAGTAAACAATTGGTTGCCCCAAGTATTGTGCTAAGTTGCAGAGAACGGCTGCCTAAAGAATATAAGAATATTGTCGGTTAGCTCAATGTACGAGTGACAAAAATTACCAATGTGCTTCAAAAGACTCATCTAAGCAAGTTTATGATCCAAGAGTTTTCCGACAACAACAACAAAGCCTTTAGTCCCAAACAAGTTGGGGTAGGCTAGAGGTGAAACCCATAAGATTTCACGGCCAACTCATGGCTCTGGCACGTGGATAGCAAGCTTCCATGCACCCCTGTCCATAGCTAGTTCTTTGGTGATACTCCAATCCTTCAGGTCTCTCTTAACGGACTCTTCCCATGTCAAATTCGGTCTACCCCGGCCTCTCTTGACATTCTCCGCACGCTTTAGCCATCCGCTATGCACTGGAGCTTCTGGAGGCCTGCGCTGAATATGCCCAAACCATCTCAGACGATGTTGGACAAGCTTCTCTTCAATTGGTGCTACCCCAACTCTATCTCGTATATCATCATTCCGGACTCGATCCTTCCTCGTGTGGCCACACATCCATCTCAACATACGCATCTCCGCCACACCTAACAGTTGAACATGTCGCCTTTTAGTTGGCCAACACTCAGCTCCATACAACATTGCGGGTCGAACCGACGTCCTGTGGAACTTGCCTTCTAGCTTTTGTGGCACTCTCTTGTCAGAGAGAATGCCAGAAGCTTGGCGCCACTTCATCCATCCGGCTTTGATTCGATAGTTCACATCTTCATCAATACCCCCATCATCCTGCAGCATTCACCCCAAATATCGAAAGGAGTCCTTCTGAGGTACCACCTGCCCATCAAGGCTAACCTCCTCCTCCTCACACCTAGTAGTACTGAAACCGCACATCATGTATTCGGTTTTAGTTCTACTAAGCCTAAACCATTTCGATTCCAAGGTTTGTCTCCATAACTCTAACTTCCTATTTACCCCCGTCCGACTATTGTCAACTAGCACCACATCATCCGCAAAGAGCATACACCATGGGATATCTCCCTGTATATCCCTTGTGACCTCATCCATCACCAAGGCAAAAAGATAAGGGCTCAAAGCTGACCCCTGATGCAATCCTATCTTTCCGACAAGTTTTTGCAAAATTGGACAAAAAAGGTTAGGTCAGGTATAATACTCCCTTCGTCCACAAGTGTAAGCATTCCTGACGTTTTGTCCATAAAGTATCTCAAGAGTCTTCAACCTCCATCAAAGCAACCCTCATCAAATTATCTCCCAACCTCTCTCACGCTGGCCATTCAGGAGCTACTCTAGCTACTTCAGTGAGGGGCATCATAGTATTTTCCCTTACTCCTTTATCTGTCCTAAAATCCTAGAAATGCTTACATTTGTGGACGGGCAGAAGTGTTATATAAATAAAGAAGATGGTACAATTATATCCGCAAAGCCCTAGCAGGAAATATATCAATTAATCACATGAATTGTCAAATGCCCTAGGAATAATGTAAAAGTATTGAGTGCAAACCCATGCTGTGAAACATATGCACAAAACAAATTCTTCAACTTGATCTAATTTGGATGGCCCAAGCCTGAGGTTGGAGTTTGCCGCCAACATGAGCTGACTTTGGGCCATCTAACTTGGCAAAGTAAGTCCAATCATGAAATACAGTAACCAATAGACTAGAGCTGTCTAGAACTCTAGATTAATTCCATGTTTACACCCTAAAGCCGTTCAGATGTTCACGAATATGGACTTGTGCAGCAAATACTCATTCGAGAATATGGATAAAATGGGGAAGCTGATTTAGTAATTTGGATACATACTCTCGTTGTGGTCAGTAATGTCGATATCAAACCAGTTTTCCGTGAAAAGCTTGTTCTTGTATATGGCTCCATCACGGTGGCTACTATTTGAGAAGATAGACGGGATGAATATATCAGCAACCTTCGTGGGATTGCTATCTGTGACCTCATTGGTTAACTTCTTCACACTGGTCACTTTCTCCCTCGTATTTGCAGTGTCTAAGCATTTGATAGTGGCACAACCTTCGGGTTTGTACGAGTGTGGCTTATTCTGCTTCTCCTTATTGCAGCTAGTTGTGCAAACATAAAAGCAAATCTTAACATCTGGCTCAAATAAGATGTATACTATCGCACTTTTATCTAGAAAAAAATGCATACTATCACAGAACCGCCAGGAACCCTAATTAGTGAAATAATCAAACTCTATATTTCCAATTCTGATTCGACGTAATAGCAATTTTAATCCAACAAATACCAATTTCTTTAATTTAATTTGGTCAGAATCCAGATCCAAAAGTTCAGTACAAGGCACAGGATTATCACTGTACATGTCTGAAGTAAGAAATGAAAGGAGGCCATAACAGACCTGGAAAGAAGATCCAGATGCCGATTCGAATGGGCTGATGATGACAGAAGGAGTGAAGCACCTCGTCCCTCACGCGCTATTGGCCACCAGCGAGGCGGAGCGGAGACTACTCTTCCGACGCTAGAGCGCCAGCGCCCAAGCGCTGGAGGCCATGAGCGAGGTGGAGCGGAACCAATTGTGCCGGCGCAGAGACCAGTAATCGATCGTGAGACGCTTTGCATCTCCGCCGCCTCAGGTCCTCACGGATTTGGCTGCGGATTTGGCGGCGGCAGGCGACCCTATACAACGCCCGCCACGTGAGCTCACACTTCGGCGCCCATATGGGCCGGCCCATGTGCAGGCCGGAACGCCGCATGTTTTTTCCTTCTTTTCCTTTTCTTTTTTTCCATTTTAATAACTTGGCATATCAACAGGTTCTAAATTTCAGATAAAGTTACGAATTTTGAATAAAATAATCATGAAGTCAGAAAAAATATTCATGATTTCAAAAAACTTCTCGGGAATTAAAAACAATTACGGTTCAAGAGAACGTTCATGAATTTGTCACAAATGTTCAAGAAATCAAAAAATGTTCGTGATTTCAAAATTTAAAAAAATGTTCATGATTTTAAAAAATGTTCCTGATTTCAAAAAATGTTCATGATTTCAAAACATGTCACGAATTCAGAAAAATGTCCAAGAATTTGTAAAAAATGATCATGAATTTAAATATATTTCATGATTTCAACAAAATTGATGGTGAATTTAAGAAATTCTCATGATTTCAAAAATGTTCAAGATTTCGAGAAAAATGTTTCGTGAATTTGAAAATATATTCATGATTTAAAAAAATGTCAGCATGTTCAAAAAAAGTGTTCGTGAGTTTTAAAAACTGTTCACAGTTTCAAAAAAAATTCATGAATTAAGATATTGTTCACGAATTTGTAAAAACAAAATCAAGAGTTTAAAAAATGTTCATCATTTCATAAAAAGGTTGCGACTTTAAAAATATTCACGAATTTAAAAGATTTTCACAAATTAAAAAAATAATAAAAACGAAAACAGAAATGAAAAAAAAGGAAAGAAAAATGAAAAGAAAACAGAAAAGGAACAAAAAGAAAAGAAAGAAAAAAACCACGCTGGCGCACAACGTTTTTGCCAGAATCGTGTGAGCGGTTGTAGTGACTTTTCACAAAGTGATGCCGGTGTGTCAATGCAGTCTTAGCCGTCGGATGCGGTCAGTGCTGTCGTCGGTGTCATTCGCGCCTTGCTGTAGTAATGTCAAGACGCATGTCCATCCTTATGGATGAGGTTGTAGAAACGGTGACAGTGTGTTGACGAGATTATTGATGAAAACCTTGGCGATGAAGTGTCGACGTTGGCATCGTAGCAGCCTGTCGACAATGATGCGTCGCTTGAAGGTGTCCCTCCACGGCAACGAGATGTCGGTGCCGCGTCATGCCGAGTCGTACAGCTCGATGCAGTCGGCTCGATGAAGAATATTGGGTGCAGATGGTGTCGATGTAGGGTGCTTAGTACGCCCGTGGCCGATGCTGATGTAGTGTCCTCCCGTGATATATGCACCGATTCATCGGGTTGGTCATCGCCCGGTCCATGTGGTTTCTATGGCATGAAACTGGAAGAACCTAGATCTCGTCCACGGGCACCTGGAGCGATCTAAACGTGTGTGTGGTGTCGCCAGGTTCAGCAGCCGGTGCTTGATAAAATCGATGTAGCTGCGCCTGCGCTTGTTGGAGCCGAGGTAGCGCCGCTTTGAGTCCTGCTGTGAAGAAACCGCCTTGACGGACGCAGGACGGCGGGGGAGAGGGATGTGGACACACCAATGAATTCTAGGGTCGTCGATTTTATTTGGTGGCTAAAAGAAAAATTGATCTATGGGAATTTCGGAAATTGAGAATTTATCTAAAACCCCGACGCTTTCTTATGGCAACTTTAGTTACTCGGGGATGACAACATTATTTGTGAAGCATGTCAACTTTGTGTTTGGA